TAAAGTCTCTTATTATTAGTGTGTTTCTATTTCTCCTTGCATCATCTGTAGTTTATATAGGTGGTCACTGTGTTGTTTAATGCATATATAATCATAATTCTGTATCTTAATTACAGATTGTGACTTTTAGCTTTATAAAGTATCCTCCTTTGTCAGATTTACTTCATTTGTTGTCTTAATTCTACTTTGATACCTGGCTTTTAATTCTTATTTTCTTTTGTTTCCACCTGCCTCATGTATCTTTGCGCATTTGCCCTTTACTTGTAGCCTTTTTGCATCATGATGTTTTAGGTATTTTTCTTAAATTTGCATAGAATTAAGTTTTACTTTGTGAGCCAGTTTGAAAATCTTTTTCTTTAAATAGGCAGTTAAAGCCCATTTGTATCTATTGTCATGACTGATATGTTTGCACTAAACTCTATCATATTTTTTATGAAAGGTATCTAATTTAGTTATATTTACTGTATTTATTCTTCTATATGATATGTTCTTTGCTCCTTATTTTTATTTTATTTATTTTGGTATATAGGAACATTTGTGGTTTGTTCTAGTGATTACTTTTGTAAACTAGGAAAAAAAGAGCAAATTAAACCCAAAGTAAATAAAAGGAAGAAGAGAATAAAGGTTAGAGCAAAAAACCCAATGGTTCTTTGAAAAAAAGTTGATGAACCTCTAGTTACACTGATCAAGAAAAAAGGAGGGAAGACATAAATTACCAATATCAGAAATAAGAGGACATCACTACAAATCCATCAGATTAAAAAGCATAATAAGGGAGTATTAACTTTTTGCCAGTAAATTCAACAACTGATAGGAAATGGACAAATTCTTTGAAAAACACAGATTATAGAAACTGACTCAAGAAGTAACAGAAAACCAGAACAACCCTTTATCTATGAAAGAAATTGAAATAGTAATTTAAAAACCTTCCAGCAGGGATACCTAGGTGGCTCAGTCATTAAGCGTCTGCCTTCGGCTCAGGTCATGATCCCAGGGTCCTGGGATCAAGCCCCGCATTGGGCTCCCTGCTCGGCGGGAAGCCTGCTTCTCCCTCTCCCACTCCCCCTGCTTGTGTTCCCTCTCTCGCTGTGTCTCTCTCTGTCAAATAAATAAATAAAATATTTTTAAAAATAAAAATAAAAAAAACCTTCCCACAAAGAAAATACCCATCCCAGATGGTGAATTCTATCAAACACTTAAGGAAGACATAATACTAATTTTATATAAAGTTTTTCAGAAAAATGAGGAGGAGGCTGCCAAATAAAGACAAAGTCACCCTGGTATCAAAACCACAGGCACTAAAAGAAAACTACAGATAGATCTCTCTCATTAATTTAGATAGGAAAAAATTTAATCAAATATTAGTAAATTGATTCCATTTAAATATAAAAAGTGGAATACACCATAACTAAATGGAGTTTATAGTTCATTAAAGTTAATACATTAATTTCTCATTTAAAATAATCTAACTTCTTCATACACTTTTTTAACAGATTTGGCTCTTAATTTCATCCCACCATTTTCTTTTCTTTTTTTTTTAAGATTTTATTTATTTGAGAGAGAGAGAATGAGAGACAGAGAACATGAGAGGGAGGAGGGTCAGAGGGAGAAGCAGACTCCCTGCTGAGCAGGGAGCCTGAAGCGGGACTCGATCCAGGGACTCCAGGATCATGACCTGAGCCGAAGGCAGTTGCTTAACCAACTGAGCCACCCAGGCGCCCCTCATCCCACCATTTTCAAATGTCAAAATCCACTCTCTAAAACTAAAGATTTACCAGCATTGAGAATTTCCAAAATAATTTGCCAGAGTCATTGGACCCCATATTAAGAAGTCCCTGCTTTTAGGATGATGGTGATATTTTATATCTTGATTGTGATCATGGTTACATGAGTACACTGATCAAAACTGATTGATCTGTACATTTAAAATAAATAAGTAAGGTTGATTTTTTTTAATTTCCTGCTTTAACCATAGCTTTTGTTTTAGATCTAAGGTAGTAGCAAATATCTGAAGAATATCCTTAACAGTAGAGAAAGTTTTAGAATCCCTTCCAGTTCTAACCCTACCTCAAGTAAACCTGATGAAGTGAACCTGATATATACCATAATGAAATCCCCTTGTTTGTGGACTAAAAGGCACTAGTTTGTTCACTAGTTCTGTGCAGATACAAAAAATGTCACCATTTGGGGCTTAACACATGTGACTCATTTAAATTATTCTCTAACTTAAATCTATATTTAATTTCCTTCTATTTCATTAGACCAAGCTTAATTCATACAGTGTTATTTTTGTCCATAAACATAAATTTAAAAATTGTCTTTCAACATTAAGTTCACCATTCACTTCTGTTAGAACAACTCTAGATGACTTTGCTTATTCACTCTTGTTTTGAGCTTTATTCATTCTTCAAATTGCATCTACATTTATCTGAAGAAACTAAAAGTAAGCTCATTACCATAATAGTGTGGGACTTAAAATTCAGATCTCCTGTAAACTTTTACTTAAAACAGATACTTTAAAGAATTATTTTCTTGGGGTGCCTGGGTGGCTCAGTTGGTTAAGTGGCAACCTTCAGCTCAGGTCATGATCCCGGGGTCCTGGGATCAAGCCCCACATCAGACTTCCTGCTAAGCAGGAAGTCTTCTCCCACTGCCCCTCCCTGCTGCTCATGCATGCATGCTCTCTTCTCTCTCTCTCTCAAATAAATAAATAAAATCTTTAAAAAAAAAAAAAAAGAATTATTTTCTTAACCTGGTTGTTTGGTCAAGAATAGACTTAAGTGCTAGATTTGCTCTAATAGTGAGCATTAATATCTTTCTCTTCTTAATGGAAAAAGGAGAAGTGACAATTTAACCAGACTTTGTTTATCAAAAGTATTATTTTTACTCTTTGCTGTTAATGCCAAACAAATATTTTCTCACTCGGATTTTCATGTTTTCTTGCCATTTAATGTTTCCAGTAAGTGTCTAGTGAATATAATAGTGGTTTATTCGTAAACTTTAAATTTGGTGATCATTGGTTTATAATCACTAAGTTGGGAAAAATAATTTATACTTTAACAAGATCCAAAAGAATGCTAAGGCACTTCACAGAGATATATGATACCACCTTTGTGTTTAAGTTAAGAGATCAGAGTGAAAAAGTTAATAAGAAAGTAAGATACAGCCATGGCTACAGTCTTGCATGCAATCTTGTGAAGGCCAGCACATCTAATTAGGGCCAGGCCCCGAATTTTGCTCATGGTTTTATAGCCCCACCATGGGCTTGCCAGATAAAATACAGGCTGCCCAGTTAACTTTAAATTTCAGATGAACAACAGGTAATTTTTTAGTGTTAAGTATGTCCTTTGTTTCATTTACTACTTCTGACAACCCTGCCACACAGAGTACAATGCAGCCATTCTAACTACTGAGTTGCCTGGGTAAGCAATCTCAGCTAAAATTTGGAGGTAACCTATTTAATTTCCTGACCTCCAGAAGATTTCTCACCAGATGATTTGAAAATCTGTGCCTATAAAAATTGTAGAGTTCATTAGTATTTTCTACTGTAAGTACAGCTGACCTTATGGCCGTCATGGTTTTGGGATTTGCATTTTTTCCTAGTGTACTTGGGAAAAAACATTCTTAATCAAATACTCAAATTGCTATGGCTGATCTCGTATCCTGCTAAATATTCTGACTTTTTTTATCATAAAAAAAGCCCTCTCAAGAGAGTACATCATCTGTATTAGAGGTCACACAGTAGGAATTAGCGCCCTTAACCATATCCTTCCTGCACTAATAGATAATAGACATCACATGTAGCACAATCTTCAAATGAGAGAACAAACCACGTGGAGTGTAGCAGTCCTGTTTCCCTCCTCCACATTGCACTTTGCCCCTTTTACTCTACATACCGATGACAAGATTTATAAGATCTTGGGATTTGTGGCTGGACTGCACAGCAAGGTAGTATTCTTATTGCCATTTCATCTCCATGGTTGCTCCTCAGAGTGGTTTGATTCTCAGAGATTTTCATGGGTTTAATGCTCTCCTCAGTATATTCATTGTTACTTGTAGAATTGCTGATACCCTCATTCTTTTTTTTTAAACTGGCCCCTTGGTGTTTCTGCCCAAGACAGAACCAACCAGTCTTCCTCTGAAAGCTTCCTCTGATTTTTTGTATGCCTCATATTTCTGGAGTTATAATTTGGTGTAGGTTAGTTTATTTTGAATGTAAACTTATATTTAGATACTTCATTTTGGAAAAACAGCTTTCCTTTTTCTTAAATCGCTTGAATCACAAATTACTATTTTTCCTAAATTTTAATTATGTCCTCGGTACTCTCTTTTGTTCCCCTACCCCTTTTTTAAATAAACTTTATTTTTTTCTAAAGATTTTATTTATTTTAGAGAGAGAGAAAGTGCACAGAGGGGAGGGACAGAGGGAGAGGGAGAGAGAAACTTAGGCAGACTCTGAGCTGAGCACGGAACCCAATGCGGGTCTCGAGCTCATGACCCTGAGATCACAACGGACTCTACCACCCAGGTACCCCCAAACTTTATTTTTTAGAGCAGTTTTAAGTTCGCAGCAAAATGGAGCAGAAAGTTCAGAGTTCCCATATGCCCCATTTACACACACACTGTTATCCCTGTTATCAATATCCTGCACCAGAGAGGTACGTTTGTTAAAACTGATGAACCTACATTGACATGTTATCATCACCTAAAGTCCATAATTTAAATTAGAGTTCACTGGTGCTGTTATACATTCTATGGGTTTTGACAAATGTGTCCATCATTGTAGTACTATAAAGGGTAGTTTCATTGTCCTAAAAGTCCTCCGTGCTCTGCCTATCTTTGTTCCCTTTTTTAAATTTTTCTTCCCTTTCTTCTCTTTTGAACTTCAGCTCCATTATGAAATAGAGCTTTGCCCCATAACCCTGAAGGACAATATTGAAACAGTACATTAAATGTGGTCACAGGGTTTTTTTTCTTTATTCTTACCTAACTTTGAACAGGTAATGGAAAGTGAAGAGTTCATGTTGCTTCCAGCCAATCAGCTCATTGATATAATATCTAGTGATGAACTAAATGTTCGCAGTGAAGAACAGGTGTTCAATGCAGTGATGGCCTGGGTCAAATACAGTATTCAAGAAAGACGTCCTCAGTTACCCCAGGTATGTTGGAAACCTTTCTCCAAGTAACTGTCTTTTTTGTACTAGATGAAATAGTATATATTTGGCTTGTAAAAAAGAAACCGTTGTCACTGTCCCTTATATTAGACTGCAAGAGAGATCATCTGTCTCCCCGTAAATCAAGGACATAGTGTTTAGAAACATTTTAAGTGTTTATCATTATGAACTTTTTGCTCCTTAGCTTCCTCTCTATTTTGCATCAGCTCTAGGTTAGGGTATAGCGCAAGTCAAAACCTAAATGGTACTAAATGAACAAAAGAAAGCAAGGATGGCAATTATCTTGCTTCCCATCCCAATGTGTCTTGGAAATCCTGTCACATTTTGAAGAGGAAAGGGATGATATGGGCCATAAGTGATCACTAAAATGAAATGTTTAATGTTCTTGTTCTTATTCTTATTATTAGATCCCAAAGCAATTGAAAACACAGTATGGGAGCATGGGTTATGTATTCTCTTAAATATCTTGCAAGTGGGAACTCGTGCCTTTAACAGTATTTATTATCTCTTAGGTGCTGCAACATGTTCGTCTGCCTTTGCTTAGTCCCAAGTTCCTGGTGGGCACCGTAGGCTCTGATCCCCTCATCAAAAGTGATGAAGAATGCAGGTATGAGTGGCCCTGGGTGGGAAAAATCAACAGCTAAGCATTCCTATTTTCTCCCAATTTCCTTATTTGTCTTGATTCCTAAATATTTGTATTTCTTAGTGCTGACACCAGGGCAATATTTAACAGGTTTTTCTTCTGGGTTAGGGTCAAGAGGAGGAGATGGAAGAAGAGAGGACTGAGCTTCCAGTATTCCATTCCATTAGTTTTTATGTGTGGTGATAATTGGTGTAGAAGTGGCAATAAAGAGGTAGATTTCTAAGATTTTAATCCAAGCTTGAATTTGAAGAGGCAGTTCTCTGCTAATACATGTTTTTCTTGAGATAAATAATGCTGTTGACTCTGTCAAAAAGCGTCAGGAGCATTTTTTCATTCTATCACATATGCCTGCCTAGGGAATAGGACCAGCCTTGCTTTCTGAGGATGTAGACAGAGTCAAAGGACTACTCCTCAAGCAGCTGTGGAAGGGTTTCCACTAGAGTTTGGTGGAGTAGTTTCATAATGTATTTTGATTGAAAGAAATTCTAAATGCTTTTGTAATACAAACAAGATACCTATTTTATTGGGCTATCTCTGTAATATAGACATAATTTAAGAATTACTTTTCCCAGTTTGATAGATTTTAAGATTTAGATTCCAACCAAACCATATGGTGTTTTTAACCATTTTCTCCCCCCAACATGTTCTATATATAAAAATGAAAGAGCAAGTCAATACTCAGAACTTCCTAGACTATACTGACCTTTGGGTCTCCCTTAGTGACTAAAGAAACTTGTTCTAGTATTGGGCATCTCTAGAACAGAGGTAGAACACGTAGATTCATTTGCATTTCTTCTATAATCTGAAGCCTGTCCCTTTAACAAGATATGTCAGAGGGAGTTTTAGATATTTGTCTCTTAAATTTAAAAAACAGACAAATGGCAATTAATTCCCTCAAATATTGACAATAGCAGAAGGAAAACCATATGAATTATGGATTTGAAATCTGAAGAAACAATGCAAAGATGCCCCTCCCCTCTAAAACATAAATCAGATTGTACTAATTCTGATGCACAAAGTAAAGGTACTTCCAAAGTCACTTTTAAAAGAAGCCCCTTCCTGGTATCCTGACCTCATGACATTTACTAGCTGTGGGACCTTAGGCAAGTTACTTTAACCTCATTCTGCTATGGTTTCTTCATGTGTAAAGCAGGGATAATAATAGTACCTATTTCATAGGGCTGTGGTGGGGATTGGCAAGTTAATACATATTAACCCCTTAAAACAGGGGCTGACACATAGCTGTAAGTGTTCTTGTTGTTACTATTAATTTTGGGTTGGCTTGCTAAGTATTAGCTCTATAGTACTCTTTCTAGGAACCCCTGAACACTTAATTAAAAACCGGATATTAGGAGATCACAGTCTTTGTTTTTAAGGCTGAGGAAGCTTGAAAAAACTCTTGGTCATCAGCTTGGGATTTGGGGGGTGGAGGGGCTGTTGGTTTTTTGGGGTTTTTTAGGATAAACTCAGAAGGGGTCTTATCAAACCCATATATTGGAAGTGCATCATTGGGTCATGATTAGGACTGGTTCTGCAATAATAAATTAACTCTTTGTAACATAAAAAGCTAGAGAAATGAAAATGTATTTTAGGAAACACTTCCAAAGTTGAGAAAGAACAGAGTAACAGATTGAATTTGCACTAATCAGGCACTGAATAACTCAGAGGACTCAAGTGAGAGGAGTACATACATGAATAGATTTATATTAGGATATTGTATTCAACAAGTATAATTACTAGGATCTTCTCAGAAAGTACCTTAATAGACAGAAAAAAAAAATTGTTCATCCTCAGTAGACTTGTTGAGAGTAAACCATTTCATATGGTACCAGATAACCACTTAATATTAAATGACAGTATAGTGTTTCTTTTTAGCAATCCAATTTTTGACATAGTTTTATTGTTTAATTAATCTAACAAATATCTAATGCCAGGGCTGATGTACTGCGTTGCCAGTATCCTGCAGAATCTAGTAAAATTCATTAGAAAGCAATAACCATGCAGGCTGGTAATTGAGTTGTAAGTTTTAGTTTCCCATAAATTATTGTTGGCCCCAAGCATATTAAGTTTTAAGCTAAAGTTTATACTAAGATAGGAAGTCATGATGGAAATACCAATCAATTTACAACTCATAGTATGACTGGCATCATTTCTCTCAAGTTTGTGACTTTTTAAATATTGGCTGGCATTCATAATTTGGTTTGATTTATGCTTGTTCCCCTTTGCCGACGTACATATTCCTAAATCATATTGGGATTTGACTAACAATGTTATTTAGACATTTGGAATAAAGGCAAAATTTTCTCCACAGGGACTTGGTAGATGAAGCTAAAAACTATCTCCTATTGCCTCAAGAACGACCACTAATGCAAGGACCAAGGACAAGACCACGGAAACCTATTCGATGTGGAGAAGTACTCTTTGCAGGTTTGGGTCTTAATATACTGTGACTAAACTGAATATTTTCCCACATGTTAAACTGATATCCACTGTCATAAGAAACACATAATAAGTTACCTTGTAGCTTGATTGTTAACTCATGATCCAACACTGGTATTCTCCAAGAGTGCTCTATTTTTATATAAGTCTAAAAATGTCATGCAATGGATGTTTTGTTAAAAGAGTCACATGCATTAATTCTGTCAAAAAACATTACATTAAACAGTTACATGCTTTCCTAGCTCTACTGAGCTAGTTTGAGACCAAGACAACCTGCTATATCATTTTGCTCCTATTCTCTACTCCTAAATCTCTGACAATTTTTAGCCTCAGATGTTTCCCTTCCTCCCATGTAAACTCAGCTACCTTGCTCACCTGAACAACTTTCTCACTGTTTAGTCAAACTACTTCTTACTGGTTCTGTCTTAGTCCATTTGGACTACTCTAGCAGGAAACCAGAGACTGGGTGGTTATAAACATAAATTTATTTCTCACAGTTCTGGAGGCTGGGAAGTCCAAGGTAAGTCACCAGCAGATTCTGTGTCTCATGAGAGCCCATCTGCTTCTTCATGGAGGGTCGTCTTCTCATCTTTTTGCTGTGTCCTTGCTCGGTGGTAGGGACAAGGGAACTTTCTGAGGTCTCCTTTATAAGAGCACTAATCCCATTCATGGAAGCTCTGCCCTCATGACCTAAGCACCTCGCAAAGGCCCCACCTCCTAATACCATCACACTGAGGACTAGATTTCAACATACAAATTTTGATGGGGCATACAAACATTCAGTCTGTAGCAAGTTCTTTGAATTTTTTTTCTAATTCTGATTCATGTAGCTAGCGAGGACTTACTGTAGAATTTGTATTTAAGCTCCCAACTTGCACTAATTCCATGGTTTCTTAGATGTAGGTATGCTTGGATTCTTTTGTCCCATTTTAATTTGTGAAGTGTTCCATTCCTTCTCATCAGGGAATTTCATGCAATCTCTGGGGCATAGTATCCTTTTCTGTCAGCCTAACCACTGTCTATCTTTTTCTTTCCAGTTTAATTTTCTCTTGGCATGTGGAAATATATTTTCCCCTATATTTTTAGAAGAAGAGGCACCTTGGTGGCTCAGCCGGTTGAGCGTCCAACTCTTGGTTTCAGCTCAGGTCATGATCTCAGGGTCTTGAGATCGAGCCCCGGGTCAGGCCTACACTCATTACGGAGTCTGCTTGAGATTCTCTCTCCCCCTTCTCCACCTCTCCCCCTCCCCCTGCTCTCTCTTTCTCTCAAATAATCTTTTTTTAAAAGAAGAAAAATTTGATAATTTCTGTTTTGAATTCTCTCTTTTTAAATTTTTGCATCTAAATTTCTTCATGTAGAGGATATTGTAGTATTTCTTTTTTTATTTATTTGAGAGGGAGAGAGAGAGTGCATTTAAGAGCAGGGGAAGGGACAGACGGAGAGGAAGAGAGAATCCCAAGCAGACTCCCCGCTGTGCCTGGAGCTCGACATGGGGCTTGATCCCATGACCCATGAGATCATGACCTCAGCTGAAATCACAAGGTGCACACCTGGCCACCCAGGTGCCAACCCCCCCCCTTTTTTTAAATTGATTGATTGATTGATTGATTGACTTGGGAGAGAGAGAGAGTAGTATTTCTTCCAGAAGAAAATTGATGCCAAGTTTTCTTTTTCTCCTTAATCTTCATCAGGCTTTTTTTTTTTCTCTTTTGAAGGAATTTCTTCATTCTCGTTTTAAATTTCAAACTTAATTATTAATTCACTATGCACTGAATTCTCCCATACTTCCAGTGTCCACATGTCTCCATTGTTATTAATAGATTTATCATTTGTATTATCACTCTTATTTATTCCTATGGCTTTCATTCTTATGTGTGCATGCACAGTTACATATTCACCTGTTTGTGTGGGTTTACACAGACACTTGCATGCTCACACCTACATCTGTATCCTTTCCCCCACATACCAGTCTTAGAGTTTCTCTTTCCCAATTTTGATATTTTATTTTATTAAAAAAAAATTTTTAAGTAGGCTCCACGCCCAGCATCAGGCTTAAACTCACAAGCCTGAGATCAAGAGTCACATGCTGTACTCAACTGAACCAGTCAGGCACCCCTTCTCTTTTCAATTTTGAAAGTCAATTGTCTCTTTTTAAAATTAGAAGCCTGCAAGATCTAATTATTTGGTACCTGTGCCTTCATGATGTGTTGGTTTTAGGAATGTAGTAGTAGGGCCATCTTTGTGGAGTTATGTCCATTATTATGAAGATCTATTAACTGTTTTATTTGGCTGACTGTTAGTTTTAATTCCTGACTAGGGATGACAGTACAGTACTGTTTCATCAGCCTCAGAACATTCTGTTGATGATTAAGAACTAGATTAACAGAGGGGAAGGTAACAGGAACTCAGACAAATGAAACTGAAGAGAACTTCCTCCCTATGATCAAAAGCTAGAGGCTAAGCCAAAAGGGTATATGGAAAGTATATTTCATGTCCAGGGTCTTCTCTGGATTCAGTGGGGATACCAATCCAGTGGAACTAGACAGGCATACCTTTGGGAATGCTGAGAGACACTAATGTAGCTCCTTAAATAGGAATTTGTTTTGGGTTTTTTTTGTTGTTTTTTTTTTAAAGATTTTATTTATTTATTCATGAGAGACAGAGAGAGAGAGAGAGGCAGAGGGAGAAGCAGGCTCCCAAGGAGCAGGGAGCCCGATGCGGGACTCGATCCCAGGACCCTGGGATCATGACCTGAGCCGAAGGCAGACGCTTAACCATCTGAGCCACCCAGGGGCCCCTTAAATAGAATTTAAACTTGACTTCGCTTGAGTTATTCAACAGCTGCCATCTTTATTCTGCTGATTTCTACCATATTTTTCCAATGTGACCTGATTATAAATTGTCAGGTGGCATGTTTTCAGTGTGTAACTATCTTCATGAAAATCTCATTTGCCTCTTTGATTAAATCATGGTATTGGGTGCCTAGCTCGCTCAGTCAATAAAGCATGTGACTCTTGATCTCAGGGTCATGAGTTCAAGCCCCACATTGGGTATAGAGGAAAAAAAGAACACCTTTTGAGGCACCTGGCTGGCTCAGTTGGTGGAGTGTGTGACTCTTGGTCTCAGGGTTGCAGTTTTAAGCCCCATGTTGAGTGTAGGGATTACTTAAAAATAAAATCTTTAAAAAAAAAGATCATGATATTAATGAAACCATACTTTGTCTTCTTTAGAAGCCAGCTAAATTGGATCAGTTTTATGATCTCAAATTCCTTCTAGTAATCACATAATTTCACATTGCTGATTGAGTATCTGATTCCTTGACAATATTGTTAACTACTTGAAGGCAAGGACCATTTCTAATTTATTTTTGTAGTTTCTAGACTGTGTAGCAATCTTATCAGAATAGGCACTCAATAAAGATTAATTACTTGCTGTTGATCCTGAGGAATACTAGTGAGAAATGAGCATCAACCCACCATGACTAATGGAAAAAGAAAATTGGAAAGCACATGCCAGTAGCATTAACGGATTACTAATGTCACTTTGCATATGAAAGATAACCTATTTTTAAATAACACCTTTGGGGGCGCCTGGGTGGCTCAGTCATTAAGCGTCTGCCTTCGGCTCAGGTCATGATCCCACGGTCCTGGGATCTAGCCCCTCATCGGTCTCCCTGCTTAGCGGGAAGCCTGCTTCCCCCCCTCCCACTCCCCCTGCTTTGTGTTCCCTCTCACTGTGTCTCTCTCTGTCAAATAAATAAAATCTTTAAAAAAATAAAAAATAAATAACACCTTTGGGGCACCTGGTTGGCTCAGTTGGTTAAGCATCTGACTTCAGCTCAGGTCATGATCTCAGAGTCCTGGGATTGGGCCCCACATCAGGCTCCACACTCTGCTCTCCCTCTCCTTCTGCCCCTCCCCCCACTAGTACACTCTCTCTCTCTCTCAAATGAATGGATAAAATCTTTTAAAATAAATAACACCTTTATTTTTCTGATAATATATATGTGGTATAAAAATTTTGATTAACAGGGTACCTGGGTGGCTCAGGCAGTTGGGCGCCTGACTCTTGATTTCGGCTTAGGTTGTGATCTTCAGGTCATGAGATCGAACCTGGTGTGGGGCTTCACTGGGGGGCAAAGCTTGCTTGGGGTTCTCTCTCCCCCTTTTTCTCTGCCCCTCCCCCATGCATGCCCATGCACACTCACACTCATGCGTGCTCTCTCTCAAATAAATAAGAAATTTTGATTAACAAAAAAATATAAGGGGCGCCTGGGTGGCTCAGTTGGTTAAGCAACTGCCTTCGGCTCAGGTCATGATCCTGGAGTCCCAGGATTGAGTCCCGCATCGGGCTCCCAGCTTAGCAGGGAGTCTGCTTCTCCCTCTGACCCTCCTCCCTCTCATGCTCTCTATCATTCTCTCTCTCTCTCAATAAATAAATAAAAATCTTTAAAAAGAAACAGAAAAATATAAAGAAGAAAAGTTAAATTATCTACCATCTTTTTTTACACTATGAAGCTTTACATTTTCATTTGTAGAGAAGAGCCATTAGGTCTTTTCCTTTACAACTGCTTTGGTTTTTCCCAGCTTTCTCTGTCTTTTTATGTTTTCCAGATCTGAATATCATTCTTGAGTGATACTGTTCACTGACATTATTTTAGATCTTGACCTATCTGTCTCTACTTTAGTAAAGCTTAATCTTCAATTTCTTTTGGTTTTTACTGCAATTTTGTTTTCATTATCTTTAGAATGCCAAATTACCAATCCTCACTTAACTTTGGAAAATTGAGCCTTCCTTTATTCATCATTCTGGAAACCCTGGAAACCTAAGATCAAATCTATAATCTTAGTAATTTTTTACTCAGGAGCATTTTACTTCTCCTTATATCTTCTGGCCTGTCCTCTTGTTTTCCATTAGACTTCTTGATGCTTATCATTTTGTGTTTCTGTTTTGCTCAGGGTTTTTTTAGGTTTTCACAGTTCAGTGATCCTTATTCCAGATACTTTCTAAAAGTTGCCTTCTTTAAGGTAATACTTTTTGACCAAATCTGTCTTTGAGGTAATTTTTTTTAGAGTCAACATCTCACCATGTTTCTTTGTTTGTTTTTCAGCAATATTTTTCCTTAGGTACATTTCTTAACTCAAATTGAGTGTTCTCGTGGCAAGGACATGCATACACTTTATTTTGCTAAATACAGCTATACTTAGCTTATAATAACTTAACTAGTTCTGTCCCAACTATATCATCACTTGTTGCCTCAGAAATCATAATACAGGTAAAGTTGCCATGAGACAGTGGAATTGATGCTTTCCTTTTCTTGTTCCCCAGGTCACAGGAAATATTGAAATTTTCTTTCCTAAAGACCTATTTTTTTGTTGTTGTTATTAGTATCAGAGGACACAATTTATGAAGTGGTAATAATTTGATTTGGAGCCAGATAATCCAAAAAAAGTTGGTTTTAATGGCTCCCATTGTAAAATTGTGCCCAAGGTTTGGTGGTTAGGCTATTTGATTTGTCTTAAATGGTTATAACCCTCACATTTGCAGCCAAATTTTATTTTGGATTTTAAGATGTTTTCTCTGACATTGAAACTCCTGGCATATATCCTAGAACAGAATTAAAATTAAAATTAATATACACAAACTTACTATGATTTAGTATGTTTTTATTTTAATTAGTTAACATGAAGGTGCAATATTGGTTTCTAGAGTAGAATTCAGTCATTCATCATTTACATACAACACCCAGTGCTCATCACAAGTGCCCTCCTTAATACCCATCACCCATCTAGCCCATCCCCCACCCTACTGTGATTTGGTATTATTTGAATATTCTGATTTAAATGAAACCATAAAAAATAAAATGTATACAGCACATTGAGATTTGAAATAAAGAGGTAAGTTTTCACATCCATCTAGAATAAGATTAGAAAACATTATAGAAACCATTATTTTTCAGATGTTTTGAGATTAAAGTATCCTTACTTAACTTTTTAAGCTCCAGAATGTAGCTCTTATTTTGGATTGGAATAGAGATGATTTGAAAGAATAACAAATTAAATGTATCTGCTATAACCACACTTTTTTTCAGGCCGTACTCAGTACTCCAAGAAGCTCTGTGGAACTCAGTTTGATTTCTGTCATTCTGGTTATGAAAAATGTAGTTTTTTAAAAAAGTTTTCTGACCTTATATGTCATGTTGGATAATATAGAATTCAGTACAGGCTTAATTAAGATTATGCAGAAAGTATTTTGTAGCATATATCATAAGAATTTTTATATTATTTTTGGTCACAAGAGGACTATAAAGAGGCCATGAATAGATGACTCAAAATCCCTTCCCCTACTAGAATAAACAAACCTAGGCTTCTGATTTATAGTTTTTTTTTAAGTATAATTAACATATAATGTCTTGTTAGTTTCAGATATACATCATAGTGATTTGATATTTTTTATGCATTACGAAATAATCCTTGTTTTACCATGTGTCACCACACAAAGTTATTACAATATTATTGACTGTATTCCCTATGCTACACATTACATGCCCATAACTAATTTATTTTATATTGGAAGTTTATACTTCTTAATCCTCTTTACCTATTTCAGCCACCCCATAAATCTCCACTCTGGTAACCAACATTTGTTTCCTATATCTATGAGTTTGTTTCTGTTTTGTTTTGTGTGTTTGTTTTGTTTTTTAGATTCCACATAAGTGAAATTGTGTTCTATTTGTCTTTCTGTATCTGACTTATTTCACTTAGTTGGATCCCTCTAGATCCAACTATGTTGTCGCAAATGGCAAGATTTCCTTCTTTTTTATGGCTGAGTAATATTCAGTTGTGTATGTGGTATCCATTCATTTATCAGTAGACCCTTAGGTTGCTTTCATATCTTGGCGGTTGTAAATAATGCCACATTGAACATAGGGGTTCATATATCTCTTTGAATTGGTGTTTTCATTTTCTTTGGATAAATATCCAGAAGTGGGATTGCTGGATTGTATGGTAGTTCTATTTTTAATTTTTTGAGGAACCTCCATACTGTTTTCCAGAGTGGCTGCACCAGTTTGCATTTCCACTAGTATGAGGAATACATTGCAAGTGTATGAGAATTCCCTTTTCTCCACATCACCAATGCTTGTTATTTTTTTGTGAGGTTTTAGTTCTTTTGGTTTTCAATAACAAATTACATTTATGTAGTGTTTTATTCTTTAGAAAGCAGTTTCATGTATATATTATTTCACTTTTAAATTTTTATTCTTTATTTTACAAATAAGGTAGTTTACAAGATATTCCCAAGATCATATTGCTTAGTAGAGGTTACAGTCAAACCCCAGTTTTCTACCTAAATTCAGTGCTCTATCCATTAAATGCTACATTATTTCTCAATCTCATTTAAATTAGTGTCTTTGCCCTCCTATGGACCTAATACTAACTTATTTAGAAAATTAAAGATTATAGCAACCCCAGTAGCATAAGTAAAAGTCATGACTTATGTTTTGACCTGCTTCTAGACATATTTGGTAAGTCCAAGCATTAGGTCACAATTTAAAGTTTTGCAATGAGTGATACATTCTGTGCATTAGGACAGGTATTCTCCTGACCACTTCTCTTACTTCCCCAGTCGGTGGCTGGTGCAGTGGAGATGCCATTTCTAGTGTTGAACGATATGATCCACAGACCAATGAATGGCGAATGGTAGCTTCAATGAGCAAAAGGCGATGTGGAGTTGGGGTCAGTGTTCTTGATGATCTGCTATATGCAGTAGGAGGCCATGATGGATCCTCTTATCTCAATAGTGTTGAAAGGTAAGTAAGGTCAATTTGAATATTTTTTGCACTTGAGATGTTAACTAGGAAACAAATGTGATTTGCTGCTTTAGTGTTACATTTGTGGCACTAGTTGGCAGCCTTGACCCCTTAGCATGACGTATAAGTTCTTCATGATGTAACCTCCGCCTGACCTATTTTTGCAGTCTGTCTCCCCCAGCCACACCACTGTTCCCTAATGCTACTCCAGATCTACCAAATTGCCTGTAGTTCCTTGTACACACTAAATTCTTTTATTCCTCTTTGCCTACCCATATGCATGCTATTCTTTCTTCCCTGGATTATCTCTCCAAGACTCAAATGTTATTTCCTACATAAAGCCTTCTCTGACACCACACAATTAGTTACTCATTCCTCTGCCTTTTCATAAGTATTTTGAACATACATATCTGATTGGCTATCGTTGTTAAAATGTCTTTTCCCATATCTATCATAGTGCCTGGCACATTGGAATGCTACGATAATTGTTCTAGTTTCTTGCTTTCATATTCTCTTTTTCATTAAACTGGGATTTACAGTGATTCTTGGTATTGCCTAAAAATGTCTGTGACATCCTGCAGCATTAAAAGATCGAGAGGTAGGGGCGCCTGAGTGGCTCAGTCGTTAAGTGTCTGCCTTCAGCTCAGTTCATGATCCTAGGGCCCTGGGATCGAGTCCCGCATGGGCTCCCTGCTCAGCGGGAAGCCTGCTTCTCCCTCTCCCACTCCCCTGCTTGGGTTCCCTCTCTCACTGTGTCTCTCTCTGTCAAATAAATAAATAAAATCTTTAAAAAATAGAAATAAAAAATAGAAAAGATCTAGAGGTATAGTTTGTATAGCTGAAAAAGGAAACAAAGGAATCAACTCCATAGAAGTTAAAAAAAAAAAAAAAGCACACTTAAAAAAATAAATAGAGTTAGAGATGCCTGGGTGGCTCAGTTGGTAGAGCATGCAACTCTTGATTTCAGGGTTGTGAGTTCAAGCCTCACATTGGGCAGAGAGCCTACTTTTAAAAAAATTGAAAATATGAGCGCCTGGGTGGCTCAGTTGGTTAAGTGACTGCCTCCAGCTCGAGGGATTGAGTCCCATATGGGCTCCCTGCTCAGCAGGGAGTCAGCTTCTCCCTCTCACCCTCCCCTGCCATGCTCTCTCTCATTCTCTCTCTCTCTCAAATAAATAAAATCTTAGGAAAAAAAATTGAAAATATAAAAAATAAAAAATAAATTGAGAAAAAGAAATAAGAATGGAAATTATTAAATATTTACAACTTAATAACAAGCCCAAATATACCAAAATGTGTGGAATGCAACTAAGGTAGTATTCAGAGGCAAATTTATAGTGCATTTTAACTTAATATGCATTCATTTGAAAATAAGAAAGATGAGAAAATAAATCATGCTTTTAAATCATGAAGTTACAAAAAGAGCAGCAAAACCCAAGAAAATAGAAAAAAAGAAATTAAATAGAAAAAAAAGAGAAAGAACTAATGAAATTGAAAACAAACAAAATTGATATAATTACACAAAGAGCAATTTGATAGTTTTTTTTGACAGTATATTTTTTAAATTGACAATGACTCTACTCTGTGCCCCATGATTCTACTTGTCATCATCTATTTGCACAAAGAGAAATATACAACGGTAATCACTGTTTTTAATAGCAAAATGTCAGACACAATGTAAGGATACATCAACAGGAATATGTAATGGAACACAATAATGAAATGCTGGAAAAATCTAGAACATTATCTATTAGCATGGATAGATCTCAGAAGTATGTTGAGTAAAAAAGCTGTGCCTACTATGTGGTATTATTTATGTAAAGAAAACATACTTGCATCTAAATATACCTATTTAAAAGTATTTTACTGAAAAGTCTTGAAGGACATACACCAGGTCACAATGGGAAGAGACCAGAAATTGGTGGAACTCAAAGGAAAATTTAGGTTAACCTATAACATTCTGAAAAAAGTTTTAAAGAAAATATATTCATCTGTGACTTGTATAAGTAAAAATTAAGTTTAAAAAATAAAACTAAATTAGCTTTTCATATACTTTAGTTATTAATCAGCCCATATTTAGAGGAAAGAGTATAGAATATGTAAATATAGCCAGGCTTTCTTTGTGTAATACAAACTCTGCTCTTACTATGTTCTCTGCAGGTATGACCCCAAAACAAACCAGTGGAGCAGTGATGTGGCTCCTACAAGCACCTGCAGGACAAGTGTTGGTGTGGCAGTGCTCGGAGGCTTTCTCTATGCTGTGGGTGGCCAGGATGGCGTGTCTTGCCTCAACATTGTTGAGAGGTGATTTTTTTTAAGTCATTTTCAATTTTTTAAAAGAATATAAAGGGTATTTACCCAAAGGATGCAAACATAGTGATCTGAAGGGGCACCTGTACCCCAGTGTTTATAGCAGCAATGTCCACAATAGGTGTGTGTGTGTGTGTGTGTGTGTAATGGAATATTACTCAGCCATCAAAAAAATGAAATCTTACCATTTGCAATGACGTGAATGGAACTAGAGGGTATTATGCTAAGTGAAATAAGTTAATCAGAGAAAGACAATTATATCATTTCAATATGATTTCACTCATAAGTGGAATTTAAGAAACAAAACAGGATCATAGGGGAAGGGAGGGAAAAATAAAACAAGATGAAATCAGAGAGGGAGACAAACCATAAGAGACTCTTAACTATAAGAAACAAACTGAGGGGGGGAGCAAGATGGCGGAGGAGTAGGAGACCTGGATTTCGTCTCCTCTCAGGAATTCAGCTGGATAGGGATCAAACCATTCTGAACACCTACAAACTCAACAGGAGATCGAAGAAAAGAAGAGCAACAACTCTCTCATCAGAAAAGCAACCACTTTCTGGAAGGTAGGACGTGCGGAGAAGTGAATCCGAGGCGATATTCGGGAGGATAGACAGCGGGGGAGGGGCCTCCGTCGGCTGCTTCTGGCAAGTGATAGAACCACGGAGCACAAAATCGGAACTTTTAAAAGTCTGCTCCGCTGAGGGACGTCACTCTGGTGGCTAAGCGGGGGGTGGAACCCTCCGGGACAGTGTGGTCTCAGGACCCTCGGGGTCACAGAAAGACCGGGGGTACCTGAGTGCGGCAGAGCTCCCAAGTAACGGAGCAGGGAAGGCGGCTGCAGAGGCGGAGCCCAGGCGCGGGCTCTCAGCTCGGGGTTGCCATAGACAGTGATCCGCAGCACAGTCAGGCCACTGCTCCTCCAGCAGGGACCCAACAAGCGGCAGATCCGGGGAGACTCACCTTCCTCCCCTGGGAGGAGCCGTGCGGGAGTGCACTGTAGGGATCTACTGGGTTTGGAGACTCCACCCGGGGTCGGGTGCCAGAGATAGAGAAGCGCGGTCGCAGGCCAGGTGAGCACGGAGTGCGGCCGGAGAGCGGGGAGACTGGAGTGACTGACAGCTTTTCTCTGGGGGCTCACTGAGGAGCGGGGCCCCGAGTTCTCGGCTCCTCCGGGGCAGAGATTGGGAGGCCGCCATTTTCACTCTCCGCCTCCAAAGCTGTACGGAAAGCTCGCAGGGAACAAAAGCCCCGGAGAGCAAACCCGAACAGATTACTTAGCCGGGAGGGGGCAAGGGCGGGGCAATTCTGCCTCCGGCAAAGACATTTGGAAACCACGGCAACAGGCCCCTCCCCAGAAGATCAGCGAGAACAGCCAGCCGAGACCAAGTTTACCGATCAATGAGAACAGCAGAACTCCAGCGCTACGGGAATAATGCACATAGAATTCATGGCTTTTCCCCATGATTCTTTAGTCTTTCAAATTTTTTTTTTAACTGTCTTTTTTTTTTTTTTGAATTTTTCTTTTTCCCTTTTTCAACCAACATCTTATCAATCCCTTTTTTAAAAAAACATTTTTATTTTTCATTTTTAGAGTCATATTCTATCCTTTCATAGTAGTTACCCGTATTTTTGGCATATATATAAGTTGTTCTCTCTTTAAAATTTTGAGATAGTTTCTTCTAACAGATTAAAATATACCCTAAATCTCTAGTATATGGTGTTTTCTATTGCCCTGCCTGATCACATTCTCTCCCTTTTTTTTTCTTTTTTCTTTTTTTAAATCCTCTTCTTTCTTTTTTCAAACAACTTCTTATCAATTCCTTTTATAAAATTTTTTATAATTTCCATCTTTACAGTCATATTGCATCCCTTCATCATATCAACCCTTATTTTTGTCCATATATAAGTTTTCTTTCTTTAAAATTTTGGGAGGCACTTTCTTCTAAAAGACCAAAATACACCCCAAATCTAGTGTGTGGCACTGATCTATATACCAGCCTGATCATATTTGATCACATTCTGGTTTTTTTGTTGTTGTTGTTGTGTTGTTTTGTTTGTTTTTGTTTGTTTTTATCTTTTTCTTTTTTTCTCTCTTTCCATTTCTTTTCCCACTGCTTCAGGTCTTTTCTGACTTGTTTAGAGTATATTTTCTGGGGACATTGTTACTCTGCTAGCATTTTGTTCTCTCATTAATCTATTCTCCTCTGCACAAAATGACAAGACGGAAAAAATCACCTCAACAAAAAGAACAAGAGGTAGTACCAACTGCCAGGGACCTACTCAATACGGACATTAGTACGATGTCAGATCTAGAGTTCAGAATCATCACTTTAAAGATACTAGCTGGGCTTGAAAAAAATATGGAAGTTCTTAGAGAAACCCTCTCTGGAGAAGTAAAAGAACTAAAATCTAACCAAGTCAAAATCAAAAAGGCTATGAATGAGGTGCAATAAAAAATGGGGGCGCTAACTGCTAGGATAAATGAGGCAGAAGAGAGAATCAGTAATATAGAAGACCAAATGATGGAAAATAAAGAAGCTGAGAAAAAGAGAGATAAACAACTACTGGATCACAAGGGCAGAATTCGAGAGATAAGCGATACCATAAGACGAAACAACATTAGAATAATTGGGATCCCAGAAGAAGAAGAAAGACAGAGAGGGGCAAAAGGTATAATGGAGCAAATTATAGCAGAGAACTTCCCTAACTTGGGGAAGGAAACAGGCATCAAAATCCAGGAAGCACAGAGAACCCCTCTCAAAATCAATAAAAATAGGTCAACACCCTGACATCTAATAGTAAAACTTACGAGTCTCATAGACAAAGAGAAAATCCTGAAAGCAGCTCGGGAGAAGAGATATGTAACCTACAATGGTAGAAACATTAGATTGGCAACAGACCTATCCACAGAGACCTGGCAGGCCAGAAAGGACTGGCAGGATATATTCAGAGCACTAAGTGAGAAAAATATGCAGCCAAGAATACTATATCCAGCTAGGCTGTCATTGAAAATTGAAGGAGAGATAAAAAGCTTCCAGAACAAACAAAAACTAAAGGAATTTGCAAACACAAAACCAGCCCTACAGGAAATCTTGAAAGGGGTCTTCTAAGCAAAGAGAGACCTTAAAAGTAACATAGACCAGAAAGGAACACAGACAATATACAGTAACAGTCACCTTACAGGCAATACAATGGCACTAAATTCCTATCTTTCAGTAGTTACCCTGAATGTAAATGGGCTCAATGCCCCAATCAAAAGACACAGGCTAACAGACTGGATTAAAAAACAAGACCCATCGATATGCTGTCTGCAAAAGACTCATTTTAGACCCAAAGATACACCCAGATTGAAAGTGAGGGAGTGGAAAACCATTTACCATGCTAATGGACACCAAAAGAAAGCTGGGGTGGCAATCCTTATATCAGACAAATTAGATTTTAAAACAAAGACTGTAATAAGAGATGAGGAAGGACATTATATCCTACTTAAAGGATCTATCCAACAAGAAGATCTAACAATTGTAAATATGCCCCTAACATGGGAGCAGCCAATTATATAAGGCAATTAATAACAAAAGCAAAGAAACACATCGACAACAATACAATAATAGTGGGGGACTTTAACACCCCCCTCACTGAAATGGACAGATCGTCTAAGCAAAAGATCAAAAAGGAAATAAAGACTTTAAATGACACACTGGACCAAATGGACTTCACAGACGTATTCAGAACATTCCATCCCAAAGCAACGGAATACACATTCTTCTCTAGTGCCCATGGAACATTCTCCATAATCGATCACATCCTAGGTCATAAATCAGGTCTCAACTGGTACCAAAAGATTGGGATCATTCCCTGCCTATTTTCAGACCACAATGCTTTGAAACTAGAACTCAATCACAAGAGGAAAGTCGGAAAGAACTCAAATACATGGAGGCTAAAGAGCATTCTACTGAAGAATGAATGGGTCAACCAGGAAATTAAAGAAGAATTAAAAAAATACATGGAAACCAATGAAAATGAAAACACAACTATTCAAAATCTTTGGGATGCAGCAAAGGCAGTCCTAAGAGGAAAGTATATAGCAATACAAGCCTTTCTCAAGAAACAAGAAAGGTCTCAAGTACACAACCTAACCCTACACCTAAAGGAGCTGGAGAAAGAACAGCAAATAAAGCCTAAACCCAGCAGGAGAAGAGAAATAATAAAGATCAGAGCAGAAATCAATTAAATAGAAACCAAAAGAACAGTAGAACAGAACAACGAAACTAGGCACTGGTTCTTTGAAAGAATTAACAAGATTGATAAACCCCTGGCCAGACTTATCAAAAAGAAAAGAGAAATGACCCAAATCAACAAAATCATGAATGAAAGAGGAGAGATCACAACCAACACCAGAGAAATACAAACAATTATAAGAACATATTATGAGCAACTCTATGCCAGCAAATTAGATAACCTGGAAGAAATGGATGCATTCCTAGAGATGTATCAACTACCAAAACTGAACCAGGAAGAAAGAGAAAACCTGAACAGACCTATAACCACTAAGGAAATTGAAGCAGTCATCAAAAATCTCCCAAAAAACAAAAGCCCAGGGCCAGATGGCTTCCCAGGGGAATTCTACCAAACATTTCAAGAAGAATTAATACCTATTCTTCTGAAACTGTTCCAAAAAATAGAAATGGAAGGAAAACTTCCAAACTCATTTTATGAGGCCAGCATTACCTTGATCCCAAAACCAGACAAAGACCCCATCAAAAAGGAGAATTACAGACCAATATCCCTGATAAACATGGATGCAAAAATTCTCACCAAAATACTAGCCAATAGGATCCAACAGTACATTAAAAGGATTATTCACCATGACCAAGTGGGATTTATCCCTGGGCTGCAAGGTTGGTTCAACATCCGCAAATCAATCAATGTGATACAATACATTAACAAAAGAAAGAACAAGAATCATATGATCCTCTCAATAGATGCAGAAAAAGCTTTTGACAAAGTACAGCATCCTTTCTTGATCAAAACTCTTCAGAGTATAGGCATAGAGGGTACATACCTCAATATCATAAAAGCCATCTATGAAAAACCTACAGCAAATATCATTCTCAATGGGGAAAAACTGAGATCTTTCCCCCTAAGGTCAGGAACGCAGCAGGGATGTCCACTATCACCACTGCTATTCATCATAGTATTGGAAGTCCTAGCCACAGCAATCAGACAACAAAAAGAAATCAAAGGCATCCAAATTGGCAAAGAAGAAGTCAAACTCTCACTCTTTGCAGATGATATGATACTTTATGTGGAAAACCCCAAAGACTCCACCCCAAAACTGCTAGAACTCATACGGGAATGCAGTAAAATGGCAAGATATAAAATCAATGCACAGAAGTCAGTGGCATTCCTACAAGACAGAAGAAAGAGAAATTAAGGAGTCAATCCCATTTACAATTGCACCCAAAACCAGAAGATACCTAGGAATAAATCTAACCAAAGAGACAAAGGATCTGTACTCAGAAAACTATAAACTACTCATGAAAGAAATTGAGGAAGACACAAA